GTCCCAGTGGCTCATTGATGTGTCTGAAGAGGTTTTTTTAAAGCCTCTGTCTGTAGGTTTGTTGACTCAGTTCTCATGGGAACAGACTTTAATCTGTCTTAAATGTACTTTTTAATTTGTTAGCAGACTTGTGTATTTTTAGAAATTGGCTCAAACCTAAACTTGACTTCCAAACTCTAAATGTGTTTGGCTGTGGAGCCCACTTCACCACAGAGCCTCGCACTCCAGGCCGCTTCGTCCTCGATTCCCTGGCGAGCGCACACAAAGCCACTCGCACGCACGGGAGGATCACACAGACCCGTGCCTGGCGATCACACTCAGAGTCCAAAAGGAAAGTGACACAATAGGGACACAAAAGCATCTCATCTTCATCTGAGGCGAACTGCTTCTTATCGTTTAAGGTGAGACTCAACACTTGTTCTGCTCAGGGGAAATCTGGGTCGCTTTTTCGCAAGTGGACCAGTCACCCACTTTATATGAAGATTAGGCTGAGTGCTCGCTTCGCAGGCCTGGAAGAGACGGCGAGGAAAACAAACACAGGAACTAAGATAATAACCTTGTTATGCTGTATCTCGGATTTCTACTGTAAATTTTGCATCACTGCCCTGAAACTGAGTTGAACTGTTTGTCTGTTTAAGGACTCCTGTGAAATAATCATAATCACATTTTAAAGTGAACTGATTATGCTAAATGTGAAATGTAGTAGGTGGCAGGAAGCAAGCATGGCGAGGGGTTGGCGTTTGGGTAGAGCGTGTATGAGACAGGACGTGACGTACAAATCCCGCAGCGGAAACATGTTTGTGTGTCGGCCGACTGCCACCTCGATTATAATGTGCCATTCAAGTGGAACAATTATTGCCTTATTCATAATGATATTGATTCTCCCACTTAAGCTGTTTGTTGTTGATCTAGTGTTTCTGATATTTAATCTTCCCAGCTCCAACCTGCAGCCCCGAAATTACCAGATAATGACATTAATAAGATTAATATCTAATCTCATACAGCAGCTTCTCTAACGCGTTTTATTGAATATGTGACAATAAATCACATTTTTAACAAATGAACTCCATGTTAGAATTTCACAACACAACAGAGGAAAACTAGAGAGAACCATCCCCGGCCTCCTCTCCTCGACTGTAGCATAGAGAGGTTGTTTTTCGCTGTGAGACACAAACACACTTCTGAGTTCTGAATGAATGGACCAATTAACACAGAAATCTCCGATATGCTTAAAAAAACAACAGTATGTATTCTGGTTCCACAGCCAGCAGCGTATAAACAAGCACAAAGAGAGGAGGGTGCAATTTAAAAAACAGAGGCAAACAGAAGAGAGTGTGTGTGTGAGTGTGTTTGTGCGTGTGTGCGAGTTAAACAGGATAATTTTTATTTAGACAAAATCCAGGTTTATCTCGAGCCACACTGTTCTGACTTCAGTAGCTGACTGCCTTGTAATTGTGTGTGTGTGTGTTTGTGTTTCTCAGAGATTCATTGCAGCAGCTCTCAACTGAACCTGTTTTTTCTCCACAATGACTTAAATGTCCCAGATCTGTCTTTGACTCAGCGTCATCTCTGAGTATGTACTTTTTTGTGTGTGTCCCTCCGCGTGTGTGTGTGTGTCTGTGTCCGTATGTTTTTACACACACGTGTTTCCACTGCCTCGCACTATCCTGCTGAAACATTAACATTTCATGGACGATTCTGAGGTTTGTCAACTGGATCTCATCAAAATTTCATCCTTAATTACTGAGGCAGAGCTGGAGGGAGATCCCCCCTGCACAAGGAGAACTGCCACTCTGAACCGAGCTGCTGATGGGGAAAAAAAAAATTCAATCCCCACCAGCTTATTGCCTGTGAAAGCTCGGTGCTCGGTCATTTTAAATAACCTAAGAACACAACTCTTAATGATCTGGAGATAAGTGTTCCCACCAGAGCCAGTTGTACGTAGTCTGTTGAAACTTCACTGAAACTCCATAAATGAGGAGGACTCTCTAACTCTGCAGAGACAAGGTGCAGAGTGTCGCATCAGACTGAGACTTAATAAACCAGCTCATGAGTCCTGCAGCTGAGTGACAGAGATTAGTGGCAAACAGACCCCACTGCCAATCATCAAGAGTTGTGCAATGTTATTTTCAAAAAATCTGCCAAATACTACACTAAAAGTACTGAGTGTATCCACGAATACTTCTCTACATTTCACAGGCAGATTTGTACTTTCTTCTCCGCTACATTTTTCTCATTGTGGTAGTTACTATACTTTTTCCAACCAGTATTCTTACGTTGTCATGTGTGTATGTTATTCACCACCATTTAATGTTTTTATTTCTTAAAGGTCTACAATATGGATGCAGCAGAGCCAGAAACATCAAAACTGACATTACCCACAATCCAATGAGTGTAATCCTAGTAGCAGCTAATGCAGCCAGAAGAGCTGAAGATGAAGAGCTTGGGTAAGTGGATTTCTTTTTACACTCAAACCCTCAAATTGTTTTCATGTTCCAACTTGTAGTTCGGATTCTTTTTCCCTCCTGTCGGACAAACCTGTAAGAAACCTATAAACTGTGTGGAGCCGTGTAACTCTTCCTCAGCCCATGTGTTGATGGGCATGTGTGCAAGGATGTAGGTGAATAGAGGGGAAAGAAAATGTCGCAGTGAGCTGCAGGAAACAGAGCAGCATTAAAGTGTAAAATAAATAAATAAATAAGAAGCAACAACAACAAAAAATGCATTTATTCCAGGATTCAGAGTAGAGCAGCTCCCGAATGATTTGCACATACCAGTCGATCAACTACTGGTCTGGTTTCGTGGGCGCGCTGCTGATTGTAAATGCAAAAATCTGCCTCCATGGGAAAAAAGAAATGCTTAAAAAAAAGAAACAAAAACATGGTCCTATGGTGTTTTAGAGTCTGATGCTGTGGGGTGAACACAAGACGAATATCTTTTTATAATGTATTGATAGTACAACAGGGTACAGGAGTTAGAGCGGGTCGTCACTGGTTCGATCCCAGGCTACTCCAGACCACATGCCAAAGTTTTGTGGCAAAGTAGCTCTGTAAAAAGTCATGCAGAATCAGCCATTTGTTCACTATGTTCCCAAGGATAACTCCAAAAATCAAAACGTGATGATTCTCCGGTTAGATTTGGACTCATAATGTCTTGTTGTCTGTTTCTGCACAGATTTATGGACATTTATGTCTGTTGGAAATCAGATATAATTGGCAAATGAGATCCCACTGAATGTAAAAACATGTATTTCATGCTTGCGTGTTCATATTTGCCTGCATAAATGTTTAGTCTGCAACTGAGGATTATGCCAGTTAGTATATGTCTCGAATGCAAATGTTCCGTCTTGTTTATACATTTAATCAGAGAAAGCCAAGGTCAATGCTGGTTGGCGTTCTGAGCTTTACTCTAGATCACAGGGAAGTCTGATTTTATGCATTTAATCAGACACAGGGCCGTAATAGACACATCCATCCAAAATCATGCTAAGAGTGATTACCACTTCACTCGTCAGCACACCTCACATGCTACGTAGCCCCCGCCTTGATTTCTCCAAATGATTCTTGAAATGCGGTGGTAACAATGAATGAGACTGTAGCGACGGCACAAGAAACTTTTCTAGTCGGCAGCCCACCGCTGAGAACACTCTGGGGATCAAACCAATAACAGTTTGATTAGCAGCAGGCCGCCCTGCAACTCTGAGGAAGGCATTTACCCTCCAACTCCTACAAGAATTCTGATTCCTCTGTAAGCGCCGTGGAAATTATGTGGTGGCAATCAGAGCAGGTTCTGGACTCAAGCTGTCACCCTGACACACTCTCACATGTACCATACAATGAGGCGAGACACCCACCTGCATATATATAAATATATATATATACATACCCAACAAATGGCACTTAATATATGTCTGTTGCTTACAGCACATGCAGTATTGCAGTGCCTCTGTCTTTTTATGGATCTGTGACAGGACAGAAATTGAAAAAGAAGGTAAAAATATCTTGGAACAAAAGTTGTCATGTGTGACTGAGGTTGGAAAAATTGTTGCATCAATGCTCCTTTCTGCTCCTTTGAGGTTTGACTGCCGCTCTTTTCATTACATCATCCTGTTGTGCTCTCGTCTTTAATGGCACCAGGCTGCAGAACTACTGCCAATAAAAGTACAGGCACATGCTTTTATTTCTTATTGCTGATTTTCTGTATATGTGCAGTACATTCTGATGGACACTTGATAAAAGATGTTTTCATAATCCACTACAGATGTAGAGATGATGTGGAAACCCATCGTTGGGGATGACATCTGAAAACATTTTCATTTGATGGAAAGCTGCAGCCATTTAAAAGATGGAGGGAGGGTTTCAATCACTCAGTGTTCAGTCAGTGTAAGCATCATCATGCTTCCTTGAGATCTAGGAGACATGAAGTAGTTTGATCTTCAGCTACAGATGGGGGGGGGGGGGGACCATGGACTGGTGCAGCTTCAGCAGTTTGAAGATCTCAGTTCAGTACAGACCAGTAGATTTCAGGACCATGGACGTCTCATACCCAAACCAGCATGTTTCAACACCATGGACAGATCCACTACAGACCATTTAGCACCACAGGCAGCTGCACTCTAAACCATTATCACAGTGGACAGCTCCCAATGTAACCAGTACGTTTCAGCACCATGGACAGCTCCACTTTGAATGAGTGCTGTTCAGGACCATGGACAGATCCATTCATCCACGTTCCAGGATCTTTCAGAACCAGTAACAGACCAACAGTCCAGACCAACAGTCCAGAGACAGATCAACAATCCAGATCAACAATCCAGACCAACAGTCCAGAGACAGACCAACAGTCCAGAGACAGATCAACAATCCAGATCAACAGTCCGATGACAGATCAACAGTCCGATGACAGATCAACAGTCCAGAGACAGATCAACAGTCCAGTTCAGAACCAGCAACTCTCAACTTCTTTAGATCTGGTCTCTTTCTCTATTGAACCACACTTACCTCCGATGTCCGGCCGCAGCGTCTTGTCATATTCCTTGAGCAGATTGTTCAGTATGAGTGTGGCATCCTCTTGGTGCGTCCTGGGCACCAGCATTTGATTTACGGTGGTATCGTGTTGATCTTCGTAGTCGTCGCCATATTCCAGTAGATCAGACCTGGGGAGGTGAGAGGAAGGGGGGGGGGGGGGTCGTCAGTGACGTTAGGGCCCCCCCAAATAAACACCCTGGTGTGGAAACTTTGTGGATGCATGCAGTGATGTTATATCTGAACTGAACCCCCCCTTTTGCAAATGACTGTCAGACCCCAGACTCTGTATTGAGGCACAGCAGTAAATGGTTGCTGCGTGTGTGTGTGCGTGCGGGGAAAGCCCTTATCAGCCATTCACATAACAATGCGCGGTGTTGTCATTAAATCCTGAACTTTTGAAGCTGCAGAAGAACAATAACAGGAGGAGGAGAAGCACCCAGACATGTGAATGAATCAGACTCACCGCGCGCCTCGGACGAGCAGAAGTGTGCAGAGGATGACCACAAACTTGATTGTCATTTTCCCATGCGCGGATCACCTCTGATCACAATGAATCGGTGGTTTGAGACCCCGGCGTGTGCTGCTGCCGCCGCTGCTGCGTAAAAGTGCCAGTACAGTAGGTGTGGAACCATCAATCCGAGCAGTGAACTTCCTCATCCGCCCACAGACTTTTTCCTGCGTGTCATATGCGGCCACAGTGGCCTCTCTCTCTCTCTCTCTCTCTCTCTCTCTCT